ATTAAGACATTGCGTTTAAAGATACATTTTGCGGGAAATTTTGCCCTTTTAAAAAAATTCTACATGATTTAATCATTGATATGTGAACAGAGTCAATCAGAGTGGTTTGGTGTGAAATGATTGATTGTAGATACTCAGATGTCTTTACAGTGGTGGTGACAGGAACCAGGGGTCACCATGTCGACAACACAAATATAGACATTTTGTTTACTATCCAAAACCACCAGTGAACCTACACGAGTGTTCTGAGCTTTATATGGAATGTTGATGATGGTGAAATAGTAATGCATCTGAAAAATTCCTTTAGCCACTACTTTTCCTTTGAAAACCTTCTCAAAACTATGATAAAACAACGTCTCAGTCATCAGGCAGTGAATTCATAACCATTTCATGTAATAACTTTCTGTGAGGGAGCTTTTAGACGTCTGGTTCCTATCACCACCACTGTGAATTCGTTTTTTTCTTGATCTTAGCATTTCACACCAAACCACTCTGAACGACTTTAAATTATGCAGAAATCTTAAAAACTGTGGAATTTCTCTTTATTGAGTGCAGAAACTTTTCATTGTGATCGTAGATGAGACGGAAAAGCATTACAGAGTGTGATTTAGGCTTTTTAATGCTAATATTAATTGAAAGCAGTTATTAAAAACTGATATATTCTCAATGACATAAAAATGAATAAAAATCAACATTTTTACTGAGACATACAGTGTCTAGGTGTGTAGACTGTACAAAATAAGGACAGAATTCAGTAACCACCATATTCCTCTTGTAGTCCCTTTAGATGTGATTATCACAGTATTTTAAATGATTATTCTTTTGCTTGTTTGGTTCAGACAGACTGTTTTTCTTCCTTGCTGACCTCTGTAAGGATACTTTACCTGAAGTACCTGAGTGTTGCACATGGAGTATTGATTATATTGCACACAGGAAATGGCGATGAATTCCACAGTTTATGTTCTGTAGGTGTGTGAGGTCTAACGGGGGGTGGAGGAGGTTCTACTGGGATCACTGCTGGTTGCACAGTCTAACAGCAGCAGGAAGGAAGGACCAGCAATTATGCCAAAAACCTGACTGAAATTTGTCTAGACAGCTACTTAAGGACAGAAAGCCAGTAGCTTGTTTGAAGATAGTTTTCTCAATAGTTTTTCCAACAAAAGGTAGGTTTGAAATAAGTCTATAATTACTCAAATGCTTCTAGATTCTTCTTTTGTAAGAGAGGCTTCACAACTGCAGTTTTTAATTTGTTAGGAAAAATGCTGGACACGAGTGAGGTGTAAACTGTCTGAAGTACGTCCCATCCTATTGACTGGAACACACTTTTTAAAAAGTTGGTTGGTAACATGTCAAGACTACAAGTAGATGAGTTGAGATGACTCACTATATCGATTAAAATTGTAACATCCCAGGCCACCTCCAACCACTAGGAGGAGTAAGAGAGCCAGGAAGAGCTGTTTAGGGCCAATCAGGTGCAGCTTTGGACACAGAGAGCGGGTGGGATGCTAAGGCTCTAATGGCCGTATTCCAGCAAGGTCTAAGTAGTGAACTTAAAGATGAGCTGGTCACCCAAGACATGCCTGAATCTGCCTTTCTCTTCAGGAGTGTGATGCAAGAAGGTAGGTGTCTTTACTGTGTGCAGCCCAGTCGTTTCTGTTCCGGTTGTCCCAAACTTGAGGGATAAGGCCGGGGTCCATTGCAGGAAGGGGGATCTGTAACAGACTCAGGCCAATCCCCCCAAGACTTCTGGGCTTTTTTTACTGCCACTCTCTCATGGGGCAAAATTCTGAGAAGAGTCTCCAGGTTTTTGTGGACACTAAACAAATTTTTGGGGACTTAACAAACTTGTGGTATGGTATGATTAAGGACCATTACTCATTTCCATTGATGCAGGCCTCAGTTTTTACTAAGTTGGACCTGCGCAGTGCCTACAACCTTATTTGGGCATGCCAGGGGGACGAATGGAAGATAGCATTCATTACCCTGTCTGGTCATTACAAACTTGTGATGCCTTTTGGTTTAATGAACGCTCCTGCTTTCTTCCAATGCTTTATTAATGAGGTTCTGTGTAAAACTCTTAACCACTACATGTTCGTCTACCTAGATGACATCCTCATCTACAGCTGCTTAGTGGACAAGCAGATGTTTATGTTCACCAGGTACTCCAGCTTTGTAAAACTGAAGAATTGTATCTTTCATGGACCTGGCGAAAACCCAGGCCATCACTAAGTGGCCATGTCCCACATCTCTCTGCTTAGTTGAAAACTTTCTGGGCTTCGCCAATTTATTCCATAGATTCATACAGAATTTTAGTACAGTAGCTGCCCTTTTGACTGCCCTTACTAAGAACAGCATGGGACGCTTGGCCCCAGAAGCCCAAAAAGCTTTAAAGGAACTGAAGTGTTGTTTGACCTCGGCCCCAGTGCTGCGGCTTCCTAATCCCACGTTACCATAGGTAGTAGAGGTTGACGCCTCTGATATTGGTGTAGGGGTGGTTCTGTCCCAGAGTTCTGCAGATGACCATAAGCTCCACCCCTGCACTTTCTATTCCCATCATTTCAACCTTGCCGAATGCATCCACGATGTCGGGGATCATGAGTTGCTAGCGGCTCTGGAGAAATGGAGACACTGGTTGGAGGGTGCCAAACATCCTTTTCTGGTCTGGATAGATGACAAAAAATTGTGACTCTCCAAGCAGTGGAAAAAACCACCTGCTAATTTATCTCCAAAGTCTGTCAGTCTGGAAGCCCGAATCATCGCCCTGTTGTCCTGGAGATTGGAAACCGCCATCCAGGATGCGCTTTGGGCTAAACCGGACCCTGGGGGTGGGCCCCCTGGAGGGCAGTACATACTTTCTTCTGCTAGAGCCCAGGTTCTCCAATAGGGCACTCCTCCCCTTTTGCTAGCCATCTAAAGGAATCCATACTCTGGGGTTGCTTAAAATGTGCTTCTGGTGGATGGATGTGGACATACGAGCTTATGTAGCAGCCTGCCAAGTGTGTGCTCAAAATAAAAAGCCTAGGACACCACCAGTAGGTTTGCTCCAGCCCCTGCCCATACCATCCCAGCCATGGTCAATGACCTCCATGGTGCTGCCATAGGAGGAATTGCCTGCCTCCTATGGCAGCACGGTGATCATGGTCAAGATTGATTTTTCAAAGCCTGTAAATTTATTGGTCTGCCTAAACTCTCCTCAGCCAAAGAGACTGCCCGCTGTTATGACAACATGTGGATAAGAGTCCATGGGTTTCCTATGGACGTGGTGTCTGACAGTGGGCCCCAGTTCACCAGCTGGTTTTGGAGGGCATTCTATCAGTTACTGGGAGTCTCTGTTTGTTTCACCCTCAGTCTAATGGGCAGACTGAGAAAATAAACCAGGACCACAAAAGGATGCTCAGATGTCTGGCATGTACTAGACCTTCCAACTGATGCGAACACCTGTTCTGGGCAGCGTATGCCCATAATTTTCTGTGGCATTCGTCTCTGGGCATCTCGTCATTTGAGTGCCAATTTGGGTATCCTCCGCCCATGTTTCCAGAAACGGAGTCCGAAGTAGAGGTCCCCACAGGTCGTGATTATGTTCAATGATGTAGGCAGGCTTGGCAGAAGGCCCGCATGGCACTGCAAAAGTCTGTAGCAGTGCAAAAGAGAGTAGCTGACTGTAATCGGCACCTAGATCTCTTGTTTCATCCCAGACATTGGGTCTGGATCTCCACTAAGGACCTACCACTGAAGTGGAGTCCCAGAAACTCACCCTGAGATACGTGGGACCTTTAAAGCTGACAAAATGAGTTAACCCAGTATCTTACTGGCTTCTCCTCCCCATTCTATGCGCATGAACCCAGCGTTCCATTTCTCTTGTCTTAAGCTGGTCCTCTCTAGAGCCCTAAATTCAGTCCCTGCCCGTACGCCACCGTGTGTGATCGCTGGGTACCCAGCTTACACCAACTGCCTTTTTCTTCATCAGCTTCATATTTGAATTTGCCGTTCCACCTTAAATGGTGTAGCAGTGAGGTGCCGGAATGTTAAAAAAAATAAAAAGAAGGAGCTGGCAAATAAAAAAGTCAGCTTCAGCTTCATACATTCACCATCATTTTGCCGTCTTCTGTAAATCTGTCAATTTGGTTTCTGTTTTCTAAATTTAAATCAAACTTAACAGCTGTTTTTAGTTTGTTGAGTTAGTTTTAGTGCTTAGCTAGATTTTATTTTCCCCCAAAAAAATAAAATTAATAAAAATTCTTAAAATATTTAGTTCTTATTAGTACTTTGATTTCTTTTTGTGTATAGTTGCACTTTCTGTACCATAAATTTTGCATTTTATTTGGAAGCGTGAAAAATTAAAACATAACTAAAATGCTGTCATTTAAAGGCTGTATAGTTAGTTACTATAATATTTGGTATTCAGTGCTGAAATGGCCTTAAATTAACTGAAGAATGCAAACTGGCTTGTTTTGAACTTGAAGATTAGGACTCAGGACTTGACTCAAGACTCCACTGTCTTGACTTGACTGGACTTGACTCAGGACTCGAGTGTCAAGACTTGAGACTTACTTGTTATTTGCAATTTATTGACTTGTTCCCACCTCTATACTTTTATTAGTTAAAACAAAAATACAGTAAAGGTACTGTGGTATTTTTCAGTTTGTCTGTTATTGTACATTGACAGATGCTAAATGCTACTGAGGAGACTTCTTCAGTGTTCAATCTTAAACAGTGTTACATTTTATAAGACTGATTTAAATGGACAAACAATAAAGATTTCAAATCTATCAGTGTGCACTGTTTGTGATAATGTGTACATTCATGAAAACACTTGAAATTCTGTTCTGTGTAAATACCGCAAAGTTACATTCAGGTAATCCAGAAATTGCTAAGAGCAACATAATGCAGCACAGTTATTCTAAAGTAATCACATAAATGTTACACTTTAAAATAAGTGGACTGTTCCTGTGTAGTTATTATGTAGGTACTGTGTAATAACGAAGTGGGAATAGAGACAATATAGTGCAACACATTTAATTAAATACATACAGGTTACATTTTAAGGTAAGTGGACATCTGATGTTGTTGTGTAAGAATGGTTTAAAGCTGAAACTGGTCAATTAATCATCTTGATGTTGATTTAGGTTCGGTGTCTGTCCTCACAGGCCAGGTTCTGTTTTCAGCTGAAAAAAGTGGAGAGAAGGCTTTTAAGTACGAACGTCATCATAATCCTGAATCAATTCCACAGGAACAGAAAAGGCCTCTGACTCACCCACATCGCGGGGGCACGTGACTCTCCACAGACGCTGTGCTCCAGTATCTGAAACACATCAGAAAGCACACAAACATTATGTTCTTACCTAAAACCTAATCTTACATTTTCCTTTTATCTCAGGTTTTTGTCCTAGAGGATCTCATGGTGGCTGGGAGTGAGCTAGCAGCTTCTCAGGTCAGCACTAGTTCCTCCGCATAATGAACCAGCACCACCAAACACTGCTTTGATGAAAACTTTAATAAACACATAGTAATATGACATTTTGACAATGAGGAAAAACACATTCCAATAAAAGCAAAGCTCGGACACACCTGCCGTCTTCTCAGATCGTCAAGATCAGATTTCAGCACCCAGATCAGTTTGGTCATTGCTGCTTCAGGAGTGATGTCATATCCAGGAATAACATGTGCGTCCGTCAGAATCTGACACAAAATGAAGTGAGATCACAGTGATCACTGTACATGGAGCGTTCTCCATGCTTACAGGCAGGACGATAGAAAATAATATCTCCTCCTAAAAGAAAACAGCACATCAAGCAACAAGGACAAAACTAAAACCTCAACAAATACAGTGGTCAAGCCAACCTTTCAGCAAAACTAAACTAGCCAAGAAACAGACGAGAAGAAATTAATCCATGAGGTGGAGAAAGGTGAGCTGGAAGATCCTTCATCTAATTCTATAAGAACATTAACCAAAATCTAACGGTTTGTAGAGAAACTGCAGCCTGCTGAAGATTCAGACAGATCAACATCTGGATGGACGTTATTATTTATTATAATTATATATAGTTATAGTTAGTTCAGTGCTTACGTTGTTAGCTGGTAGAACTGCACATGAATAATATATTGCTTTTGTCAGATCAAAACCTTTTATCTCCAAAATAGTAACTTTACAGGAGAAAGACAAAACATACTTTACTTTTAATGCAAGTCGATGGAACCAGACACATTCTCATGTCATTTTGGGCCATTTCTTTTTATCAGTTTATCATAAAAATTTGAAACAATGTTAAGGGCACCAGGCATTTTCAGATTATGTCAAAAATTAAAAATGACAAAAGTGGAGATAAGAGGTTTTGTTCCAACAGCAGCAACATATTATATTGTTATATAATCCTCTCTTAGCCTTGAATACATCCCAAAATCTCTTAAACTAGCAGTAATTAGACCACTAATTAAGAAAGCTAACCTCGATTCCTGCAAACTATCAAATTATAGACCCATCTCGAATCTCCCCTTTATATCTAAGATCTTGGAAAAAGTTGTAGCAAAACAATTAAGCTCCTATTTGCATAGAAATCAAATACATGAAAAATTCCAATCTGGCTTTAGGCCACATCATAGTACAGAGACAGCACTAGTAAAAATTGTAAATGATCTATTACTATTCTCCGACCAAGAAAATGTGTCCTTGTTAGTCCTCCTCGATCTTAGTGCGGCATTTGAGTGTGGCATTCTTAGTGTGGCATAGACCACGCTATCTTACTAGACAGACTAGAAAACCTTGTAGGGGTAACAGGAATAGCTCTTTCCTGGTTCAGGTCCTACCTCAATGATCGCTATCAGTTTGTTAATATAAACGGTGAATCATCTGTTCTAACAAAAGTAAAAGTATGGTGTTCCACAAGGCTCTGTTTTAGGACCTGTATTATTCACATTATATATGCTACCACTGGGCACCATTATCAGTAAACACGGCACAAATTTCCACTGTTATGCCGATGACACTCAGTTATACTTAGCAAGCGAACTGGATGATAAAATTAAACTTAGCAAGATTGAAGACTGTATAAAAGACGTAAAAGACTGGATGTCGAGTAACTTTCTTCTTCTTAACTCGGATAAAACAGAGATTCTACTTCTTGGTTCAAAAACGGCTAGAAACGGACTGTCTAATTTAACACTTAAACTTAACAATTTCTCAGTTGCATCAAGCTCACCTGTAAAAAACCTTGGTGTCATGATAGACCCTGATCTGTCCTTCGATGCACACATAACTAATATTAGTAGAACAGCCTTCCTGCATCTCCGCAATATTGCTAAATTGAGAAATGCATTATCTCTACAGGATGCAGAAAAGTTAGTTCATGCATTTATTACTTCAAGGCTAGATTACTGTAATGCCCTGCTGTCTGGATGTCCCAGCAAAAGCCTTAACAAGCTTCAGCCAGTCCAGAACGCTGCAGCCAGAGTTCTTACTAGAACCCGAAAGTTTGACCATATCAGCCCAGTTTTATCAACCTTACACTGGTTACCAGTTAAATTTCGCATTGATTATAAAATTCTCTGACTGACTTATAAAGCTGTAAACGGACTCGCCCCTCAGTACCTGAGTGAACTTCTCTCTCACTATGAACCATCACGCCTACTTAGATCACAAGGTGCTGGCTAACTATTAGTACCTAGAATTAATAAAGTTACATCAGGGGGGAGAGCTTTCTCATACAAAGCCCCCCAGCTTTGGAATAATCTTCCTGTTAATGTTCGGGACTCAGACACTGCCTCAGTGTTTAAGTCTAGACTAAAAACCTACTTGTATAGTCAAGCCTTTGGTAATTAGTTTTCCCTGTCAGTTCTATACCTGCCAGAGTCTCTGCTGCTCTGCTAACACTTTAATCTGTGATCAGTCACCCATTACAGAACTGACACCCATTACAGAACTGACTCTGAGTTCTGTCAGTCACCCATTACAGAACTGACTGTGTGTGTGTTTTTTCCTTTCTTTCTTTCCTTTGCCGAGTTGAACAGCTGCCCATCCTGTGCGTTCTGATGCTGCTGCCTCTTCTGCCTTGATCGGGTGCCACTGCTCGCCAGCCCTCTGGACCGGCTTGACCACCATTGAGCTTCATGCTGTACAACGCCGTGCAACCTCACCCTCACAATCCCGACCCCACTGATGCTGCTGCTGCATAAACTAAACTAATCAAATTAATCATTTGCTCCACCTGTTTTCCCCATTTTTGTACTAAGAATGTTTACTATCTGGTGTCGACCAGAGGAGGATGAGTTCCCCTTCTGAGTTTTTTTTGTAAAGCTGCTTTGTGACAACACCTGTTGTAAAAAGCGCTATATAAATAAACTTTGCTTGCTTATATATAATATTACTCAGGTTACATCAACACAGTCCTTTCTTTCAGCTTACACACTTTTGGCAAGAACTGAGTTGATGCAATATATTTTATTTATGCAGAACCAAAGTACATTTGAATTAAGTAAAGTCAGTGCACTTTTTTCAGCGTATAATCAGTAATATAATTGCAATGATTTCCTCAAGGTGGTGCTGTACTGTGAGATATTGGTGCTACTGTTCTGATCTACTCAGCTTTCTGCCAATATCTCACCGTAGAGCACTTACTCCTGTCAATTACTGTGTAAGTGTACAATATGAGGCATTTCAGTACATGAAGAGAGCAGCACACTGAAAGATGGGAGGAGGTACAGAAACTCACTCCATTCCTGCTACGAACTACAGCGTTTCACTTTAATAGTGTAGAAAGACCACAATGATAAATCTATAGACTCCTGAGGGTCAAAAAGCTTTTGCTGAGTGGTACCTTTGATGCAGCATAGATGGGTAAGACAGTGCCACGATACACCTGAGAGCAGTTCAGCATCAGAACACCTCTTTTATCTGCTTCAGTCAGGAGATTCTTCAGCCAATCAACCTCTGGAACATTCCCAGAACCAAAGGTCTCCAGGACGACACCATCAGCTCCATCCAGGACTCCTCTCACCTGGACAGCAGGCAAGAGACTTCATATATACACATTTGTTGAGTACACCTGCATTTCTGACAAACATATTTTCCTTACATATATTTACGTATTATTAGAAGGTCCTCCTAGTGCAATTGCAAAGTGCTTGTGTTATGGTGTCAAAACAGATTAGATGCTTGCAGATTAAAAAACAGGGCTGAACTTTACTTAACATTTCAGGGTAACACAAAGAGCATAACTGGAACAGGCTAAGGCCGAACCAGAGAGCATAGATACCAAAACAAAGGGAGCATCAAGAGATCACAGCAAACACGCAAACAGGCAAATCAAAGTAACACAACAAAAAACAAGTCATACATAAGTAAGCTTACTGGGAAAGCTTGCTATGCAACAGGGTTGGCAATACTTTAAAATAACTAACTAGTTAAACCAAAGCCCGGGCTTAAATGTTATCTAGCTCATTACATGAAACAGAAAACAAGTGTGTAAACTCAAAATGCCAGTAAGGTGGAGTGTTGAAAAGAGAGTCTATTGGTTGACGGTGATGATGGTGATTCCCCACTGACTCACAGGGAATGGAGTTCTCAAGACAGTCCATGGACTCAAATGAGCCTGCAGGAGAAAGGGAACAAGCAGAGGACGCGTCCTCGGCAGGAGCTGTGACAGTTCCCACCCATTCCCCACACTCCCCAGGGAGTCCGGTGCAGCCGAGGGATGAGAGCGACCATGATGACCACCCACTGGACTGCCAGGAATGCCTCCACAACCACCAGGGCTGACAAGGTGCTGGACGGATGGTTTCTTCTTAGGACAACCCCTAGGACATCCACCAGTGCAACCCTCACAAGGTTCATCTGGCTGGCTCCTGGGTCATCCTCTGGGATGAGCAGCTGGCTTGTCATGGTGCAGATGGTGGAACTCTGCCACAAATCCAGGATCAAGGATATCCTGGGCTGATACCCCGCTACGCTCGTCAGGACCATACCCTTCCCAGTCCACCAGATACCATAGTCGGCCTCCTCTCCTGGATTTCAACCAACAGTCCACCAGATACTGTAGTTGGCCTCCTGTCTTGGATTTCCACCAACCTGTGAACAGCATAGACTAGGACTCCTTTGATGACACCGGCAATGGCGGCCAATCATCGGGCATGGATTGACCTAAACCACAGTCTTAAAAAGGGAGAGATGAAAGAAGTGTCACACAGTACTGTCTGGGCAAATCAAGTTTCTAAATAACTGCATAAATTCTTTCCAAAACTTTGAATGGACCTATATATTTTGGCATTAGTTTTCGGCAGCTCTCCTCAAACCTGAAGTCCTGAGTCGACAGCCACACATAGTGTCCAGGTTGGTACGGGAGGGAGTCACCACAATGACAATCAGCTTGGGCCTTGTTCCTCCTTAGCACCTATTCAATGCATTGACCCAGACTTTGCTCCTCTTCATCCAGTCATCTATGGCCAGAATGTCAGTGGTAACAGCAGTCCAGGGCATGCACTGGAACGGTGTGATGCCGGTAGCAGAGCTAATAAGAGAGTTCTGTGCCATCTCAGCCCAAGGCAAGAATTTGGCCCAGTGGGCCTGCTTATCATGGCAGTATAGTCTTAGAAATGTGCCCAGTTCTTGATTTGCCCTTACGCATTATCCATTAGACTGGGGATAATATCCGGAAGTTAAACTGACTTTGATGCCAAGGTGTTCAAAGAATGTTCATCATACACTGGAGGTAAACTAAGGGTCATGGTCTGACAGAATGTCCTTTGGGATCCCAAATAGTGTAAAGATATGAGTAAACGATGTTTCTGCTGTTTTAAAAGAAATGGGCAATTTATTGTGTGGGATGAATCGGACTTCATGTGAAAATCTTTCTACTATTGTCATAATAGTAGTGAATTGTTGTGACAGAGGTAGGTCTTTTACAAAATCAAGGGCTATGTGAGACCAGCAATGAGAGGCCACAGGCAAGGGAACCAATTTCCCAGTGGGCAAAGTATATGAAGTTTTACATTTAGAACAACTGGTGCACAATGAAACAAAATGGTGTGTATCTGGCAACATGTCCTTCCACCAATATCGATTACATAATAGCTGTTGGGTACGAGTTTCCCTAGGGTGACCAGAACTGAGAGATGAGTGGGCCCAACTAATTAAATGATCTTTGAATTCTACTGGTATGTATGTTTATTGTTTTGGGGGACATTGTGGGGGACTAGGTGAATGTCCTAGTGCCCAATCTATCTCATCATTCACCTCCCATCTAACAGCGGCCAATACACACTCAGGAGGAATGACGTTCTCAGGCGGGTCAAGTACTTCCTTATCTTTAATGCTTACAAATGTACATGACAAGCTGCTGGTATTAACGGCAAAGGATAGCGATAATTTGATTACACTCAGCTTGAGTGAGGGGATGCACCCTGGCTTTGGGAAGGGTTGCTCCCTCTGTGAGTTCTATGGTGCAATTATGAGGGCAATGTGGAGGAAGTTTGGTAGCTTGGGTCTTATTAAATACCTCTTGAAGATCAATATACTCTGGAGGAATGTCTGGTTTTGTCTTATCATCTGGGATTTCTACGGATTTTTGATAAAAAAGGTATTTGGGGCCTAGTGAGACAATCCTCAAAACAATAAGGCGACCAGGTACCAAGTAACTCCCATGAAATAAGGGAGTCATGTGTCTATAGCCAAGGTAACCCCAAAATAACGGTATATTCTAAAGAATCAATGACAAATAGGCTAATATCCTCAGTGTGTAAAGCATTCACAGTTAGACTAACAGGAGTAGTTGTTTGGGATACTAGTCTGGTCCCAAGGGATCCCCATCCATAGCTGAGCGCTTGAGAGGCTGTGTTAAAAGCTCGACTAGAATCTTCAGCTGCTCCACCATGCATGTATGAAGTTCCCCTCAGCTCTGGAATCAATCAGGGCTGAAAAGACAAAAGCAGAGGACTTCAATACAACCCCTTTGGGGGAACATTCACCGCATTAGTGCATGGAGTAGCCTCCACGTGCTTTACAGGGGTCAGCACCTGAAGCTTATGTGGACAAGCCTGACAGTCACATAAAGCGCATAAGTGTGAGATGTAGAACTGGGGCACCGAGAGCAGATACGTCTACCTCCAGGCTTATGGGCGTGTAATAGTTGATCCAGACAAATTGCCAAGTTTTACAGTTCCTCTTTTGGTTAGCCCTTCATCTCGACCAGCCAATTCAGATAGTAGATCAGAATTAAGCCCATTATGAAAGGTGACTAATAGAGCTGGTTCATTCCAGCCACTCCAAGCTGCGAGAGTACAGAACTCTAAAATGTAATCTGCTACTGACCTGTTTCCTTGACATATTCGAGCAAGGAGTTCCTTGTTAGATTTTCCCTCATGAGGGTGATCAAAAAACACATTTAAATTCCTGCTTGAACAGTTCATTTTTTAAGTTCTGTACATTTGACCAAACAGTGGTATCCCATTCTAAAGGCCTCAGCATACTTCTTGCAAAACGAAATTCTTGAGGCTTGTGCGAAGCCGAAAGCGCCTTCACAAGCTTACAACCTCGCATACTTTCTGCGGTTTCATGTTGCCTGTTGCGGTGGCTCCTCATGGCGCTATGACATTTCATGATAAGCTTCATGACCGCTGGAAAACAATTCTTTCACTGTTCTAACTATGGTGTCATTTGAGCTCAGAATACTGCCACCGTTTAAGGTGGAACGGGAAAATTCAAACAAGAAGCTGGTGAATGGAAAGCCAACTTTAGCCTCGTCCTCTTAAGAACCTAAATATAAGATAACCTATATGTTTTGGTGCTTCATACTAGTTAGTACTACCGAACAGTAGACTTAATATCTTACATTTAGGAGGTATTCAGTGTTTATTTAACAAATGCGCATTTCACAGTGAAATATTAGTGTGTCTGCTAAAGCTGAAGCTCCTCAAATTTGTCCATCTTTGTTTCATGGCACGCCTCTTTTTTTACTGACCAATCAGAGGCTTTGTCTCATGGTGTCTTTGTCCGCGGAGTTCGCTTAGCTGCCATGTGTGCGACACAGCAAACAAAGCCTCCGTGCAATGTCAATTGTTAGTTTTCTCCGCAATTGTGTCATATTGTTCGCTGTAGCCAGGCAAACGTTGTCTCCGAAAGAAGTATGCTGAGGCCTTCAGGCTCTGCCTGTGAGACGACAGGAAAAAAAAGAAGAAATGAGAACATGGTCAGAACAGGGCGGAGAACTGCAAAGATACAGTGAACATGATAGTAAGAATCTCTTGCATTTGTCCCTTGAGCCATTATATTTGTCTGACTAATGTTATGTAATGACACTGGAATGGTAGGAGAAGGATTAACTGGAGCAGTAACTACCAGTGGAGTTTGAGGTGGTGCAGCTTGTAACAAGGTAGTTAGTTCTTTAAGGTGATCAGCTACCAAGACCATTTGAGTTTGCTGTTGGTTATGTTGTTGGTTAAGAAGAACCACAGATTTAGAAATCTTCTTAAGTAAAGCATGATGTTGTCCTAGCATTTGACCTTGTTTACTCACTGCAGACGTTATAGCATCTGAATCTGCTGTCCGCAGGAAGGCGAAGTACTCTGTCGAGATGTCAAAACAGATTAGGCCTGAAAAAACAGGGTTGGACTTTACTTGAGGGTTCAGGGTTAACACAAAGAGCATAATCGCAACGGGCTAAGGTCAAAACCAGAGAGCAGGGAAACCAAAACAAAAGGTGCATCAGGAGAAATCCAGTAAACAGTCCAGGTCCAAAAACACAAGAACAAAAAAAAAATCACAGCAAACAAGCAAAAAGGGCAAAACCAAAGAGACAAGTGAGAGTGACAACAAAAACAGTTCATACACAGGAAAGCTTACAGACTAGGAATGGTCGCTACACAACAGAGATGCTGGCAATACGTCGAAACATGCTGAACTAAAACCCGGGCTTAAATACTGTCTAATTACATCAAACAGAAAACAGGTGTGTAAACTCAAAACTCTGGTGAGGTGGAGTGTTGGAAACAGAGTCTATTGGTTGACGGTGATGAGGGTGCAGTCAGGGGATTCCCCACTGACTCATGGGAAATGAAGTTCTCAAGACAGTCAATGGACTCAAGTGAGCCTGCAGGAGAAAGTGAACAAGCAGAGGAGGCGTGACAGTTTGAACAGTCTTCAGCTTCTTCTGTGTGTGTGTGTCATTTATTTGATAAATGTTGATCCTTTTACTCTTTTATTAGTTATTATTTTAGTATTGTTTTCTATTTTAGCTTTTTTTTCTTACTGTACCTAGCCGTTTTATTTATTTATTGTTTTTGCTAATCTGATGAATATGTATTTTTTTGATTGTTTTAATTTGTTAATCTTATTTGTCTTTCTAATTTTTGACTTGTCTTATGGACTGTTTTATCCTCTTGCTAATCATGTTTGGTCTAATTTTATTTTTTCAGCTATACTTTTACTATCATAAATTTATAATTACACTTTTCAGTCCCTCATTTTTTGAACAATGCTTGGCTACACTGTAAATGAGGGTCACCCACAGTGTACCGCGAGTTTAAATTAAGGTTGACTGATAATGATAATGCCTCATTAACATTCTCATTGTCAGTGGTCTATACCGGTGGTGATCTCAGGACCGACCACAGCAAGTACCACCAGTGGAACTGTACACGTGCAAGAACAATGTAAATGAAGCTGCCGGCTTTATGTTACAGAAAAGATAAACTAACAGACAGATTTCAATGAACGAGTAGAACTAATGCTGACGGTTGCATCAGCATACAGTACTGAATTTTGTAATACACTTACATAGCTTTCTGTCACCCCAGGGAAAAATCGCAGGATCCTCACTTCTGGTGTTTCTTTCAGTGTGAACATGCGCTTCACAGAGCAGGAGACGACAGGCTCCACCTTCTTATGCTCAATTACTGAAGTAATCACTGAGAACATAAAGACATTTATTTGTTTTCCAGTGAAACATGAAAGTTTCATTTAGGTCTTGAAAACAGTGAAGTCATGTGACACTTACGCTTGATTGTGCTTTCCAGACTAGCAAGAGGATAAACTTTAGGGCTGTCGAACACACCGAAGGAGTCACAGTCAACCTTCACCACTCGGTTGCCCTGGTACAGTTTGTTCAAGCAATAAAGCATCACCTGCACGTAGAGAATGGAGATCAAAACTGCGAATATTGTTCATTTCTAAAGTAACATTTCATTATGATGGTGTGCGCAGAAATAAACGCCTATTGACATTTATTATGTGCTTTTGTGAGGACATCCCGCAGAAAAACGTGGATAAACATTGCTTTTGTGCTCTGTTACAACTAAAGGCTCTGTTCAGGTACACTTTTCGTTCATTAAGGTACAAACAATGTAAATGTTCCCTCAAAGGCACAACAGTGGTTTTAACATCCAATTGTGAACCTTAAATAAGTTTTTCCAGGTGAAAAGTTCGTATTTGTACCTTTTCATAACCGAATGTTTTAAAACAGAACAGTAAAATAAAAGCCTGGAGACGAGACGGGGTGTGTGGAGTCAGTACAGCTATCATTACAGTGGATTATGGTTCAGTTATGTTCCCTGAATAAAGGTACTGAGATGTACCCTTGAGGGTCCCACCCCAGTGACAGGAGGGGCACTGCCCCAGAGACAGTTTAGTACCTTAATTTCTGAAATGACAGAAATAGCAAGAAAAAAATAAAGACAAACACTGCGCAGGAGCAGTTATTAAAGGACCTACATAATAAGCAGTCATGTGTTTTCAATATGGATGCATAATTCAAACAAACAAAACATAATATAAAACAAACTGAGGTTAATGTTACTGTTCTTCAGCCAACCTTATGCAGCACGTTTCTGTCAGAAAAGTACCCAGCCATGAGCATAGAACCAACAAAGTTATCCAGACCGTCAGTCCGAGGATGGAAGATGGGCATCTACAGAGAGATACAGTGGAAGAGAAGGAGCAATCACAGTTTTATGTGAAGTATATGTGGCTTGTAGCTCCCAGAAACAAGAGGAGATATTGTTCGGAAAGTGCAGATTCTAATCCAGACCACATTGGTGTCTGTAAGTAGAAGAGGAGATATTATATTATGATTTGAATTTGATGAAAAAAGTCATGGTTGTGTGTTCGGTGTTGTGTTTCAGACAGAAAAAAAAACCCTCTACTCATTTTTTTGCAATCTTTGATGACAAAAAGTTCAGACTCAAGCCTGTCGATACAGAATGGAAGTTGAATGTGAATGTAACTGATTATGTTTATGTGATTATGTTATTACATTTGAATCAAACTGCTAAATTACAAGTTCTGAGGGCTAAAGGAACCCTGCACATACACCATGTCCTCCAGACTCACTCATAAGAACAAAAATATGTTAAAAATGTGCAAATATTTAAAAATGCATGATAAAAACGATTATTTGTAGCTGCTAAATGTGAAGGAAACCTGACCTGAGCTCCAGTCACGATCACAGGCTTGTGGAGATCCCTCAAAATAAAGGACAGAGCAGAAGCGGTGAAGGCCATCGTGTCAGTGCCGTGGATAATAACAAACCCATCAAACTTTTCCATATTAAGCTAAAAGTGAGAGAGAGATGAAAAGAGAGAAAGAAAGGGAGAGAATGAAAGGCAGATAAAAACCCAAATACAACTAAATGATTATAGTTCATGAGAAAATAGTGAAAGATGGTTTTTTGTATTTCACCTGAATTCTTTCAGCCATGGTTCCCCAATCATCAGGGGTCAAACTGGAGGAGTCAATCGGCTTTGGTAGGGTATCAAGTTTGTACAGGATTTTGTACTGTTTCTCTTTGGCTTTTGGGTCATCATCAGCCAACTGGTGACTGAGAAAACAAAGAACAAAGTGACTTTACAAACAAATTTCTCTCAAATAAATAAAAGTCCTCCAGTAGAACTTTCTCAGTTTGTGCCGTGTCCCCCGCTAACAACACAAACCCCAAAATACCATCCTTTATAATAATAAACTCTTCAGAAATAACCCAGTTGTTTAATCATGGCTGTGTCTATAACATTTGTAGAAATATAGAAATATTTGTTGTCCTTTGTTAGTTCAATAGCCTTTTTGTTAGCCTTTTGTGATTTTGGACAAACACTTTAATATTAAAGATCTTAATCCAAGCCTCTGCTGCAAGTGTCTGGTTCTGTCTGCCACCGTAACAGGATACTTTGCCACCATGCAGATAGCAGACATGGAGATTGTGCAGAAGGTCCTAAACAGTCAGGGTCAGCTCCTGGGCCTTCACCAGCTGATGTCACCCAGTTAGTTGGCGACCTGACTCAACAGCAAGTTGAGCAGCAGGCCCAGCTTTCTCAACTCCTTGCTGGAATAAATTACATTGTTGTTCAGCTTCGACACCTCACAGTATCTCCTGCTACTTCTTTGACTACTCATGTTTCTGTTGCTAGCAACTCAGTATCAGTGAGTCACACTCTTTCATTTCCCATAAGTAAACCAGACAAGTTTGATGGATCCCCTGATAAATACAGAGGATTTGTGTTACAATACTGTTTATTACAGTAATGCGAGTACTAATCAGACTAAAATCGCCTTTATTGTTTCCCCACTCTCAGAGGAAGCCCTAGACTGGGCCACTTCTGCATGGTCTTGATTGCAAAGCACGTCATATGAACGCGTCCTGAAAGAATTTAAAGCTGTCTAATGGAGGACTTTTGTGCAGGATTAAACAAGGCAATCGCTCAGTTTCCATATACACCTTGGATTTTCGTACACTAGCTGCATGACGTGGGTGGTATGAACCAGCTCTCATTGTAACATTCTAAAATGGACTGAATCCTGAAGTGCTAACATAACTTGCATGTAAAGATGAAAACCTAACTCTTGATCAGCTCATAGATCTCTCTATTTGCCTAGATCAACTGCTACAAAAAAGACCCTGGCACAAAAGTTCTCCCTGTAATCACGACCTCCAGTTCCAGATCCAGTTCCAGTTCCGGCTACAACTCACAAGCAAGTTCCTATTCGTCCCCAGAACCCATGCATGTGTGACTCTTCAAGGCTGTCCTGAGAGGAGAGACTTCGTCTTCTTTATGTAGGTCTGTGCATGTCCTATGGCGCAGCTGGTCATGTTCTAAGTGACTGGTGGGCTCGTCCACACAGACCTCAGGCGCCAACTGCAGGAAAGCGTGTGGATTAAAATGTGGAGTAAAAATGTGGTGAGTGTTCCCACAAAGGGGTTGGTTTCGAAGTCTGTACTGCTTCCAGTTACCATCCACTACCGCCATGTGTCTCTTGTTGTTACAGCGTTGATTGACTCCAGAGCCGAGGGGAACTTCCTCCGTTCTGACATGGTGGCTCAACTCCAGTTTCTGGTCCAGGACCTCCAGAACCCTCTCAAGCTCTGGATGGAGGGCAAGTTGGATTGGATCGCATCTCCTTCGTCACTGAACCTGTTCACCTGGAGGCTAGCTTTTTACACAAGGAACTCCTGCCCTTTCTCGTTATAGACACCTCTGAATTATCTATGATTTTAGGTGTTCCTTGGTTACAAAGACATACCCCCCAAATCTCATGGTCCACCCGCGATATCACAAATCCCCTGACCTCAGATATCATGGAAGGTGCTACATTGCCCAAATTTCATGTATATCCCCTAACACAAGAGGGAGAGAGAGCTATGGGAGAATACATTGAGGAGGCATTAGATCAAGGCTTTATCCATCCATCCACGTCCCCAGCCACTCAGGGTTCTTCTTTGTCAAAAAGAAGGATGGGGGTCCGAGACCAGGTATTGACTATCATGCTCTAAAACACATCTCTAAGAAATTCGCTCATCCCCTGCCACTTTCCCGGTAGCCCTTGAACAACTTTGTGAAGCTAGTTTTTTCACTAAATTGGATCTTTGTAGGCGTAAATTCATATTAAAGAAGATGATGAGTGGAAAACGGCTTTCATCACCACCACCATGAGTACATGGTCATGCCTTTTGGGCTGTCTAACACCCCTTCTGTTTTTCAATTGTTCATAAACGATGTCTTCTGAGATATGATAGGGAAATTCGTTGTCACTTTTATTGATGATATCCTGATTTTGTTTTTGTCCCTTCTTTCTTCTCCTGTTCTTATCATCTAGGGAGTTAGGAAAGGAGTTTGTGTTTTAGTTTTAGTTTTGTTCTCCTTGAAGGAAGGAAGCCTTTTGGGGTGGTTAGCCTTTGTGTTTGCTGTTTTGATGTTGATTAATGTGTACTTGTGCATTAATAAGTGTTACTGCTTGAATTATTAGCAACAAACAAATAATAAAAGCCCTGTGAATTATTTTCATAAATAAATATTGAAGTGTAATGAGTAATACAGTATATCTTCTGGCTTTAAGTTCTGGCTTTAAACTGTTCTGTAATGTAAATTGTTTTAATGTGTCCTCCGATTCATCCAAATGTAATTACCTTCACCCATATGAAGAATGAAAAGAAAGAAAATAAGCTGTTACAACTATTAAGATACACTTGTTTGTACTTGTTGATACACGTGTATTTACATAAGCTGCACTACTGTAATCCATCTAGAACAGTGAATACATCATCTAGTAGTTACACTGTTGTTGCAAGTATTGTTACTGTGAAACTACACAGCAATTAGAAACATGTTTCTGTAGCTTTATGCTATTGTGCTGGCAAATGCAGGGTGCCTTTACTTGTGACACCTGGTTTTGTTAGGGTTTTGTTAAATATACTTCAACTGAAGATTCACCATTTTTTCAGTGCGAGATTGAGCTAATTATCCACGAATATATACAATATATTTTCATACATGATATATACAATATACAATGTATAAAATAACCTTTTAAAATAAGGTTTAACTCACTATAGCGTGATGAGACCATCCGGGGTGATGATGCGTTTCCTGACTTCCTCCTCTGATTCTCCTGGGTTCCTCTCGTAAAGGATGGTGTGGGCGATGAGAAAGTCTTTGATCCCATCCAGACCCTGTGGAGCGAGTCTCCCTTCATACGAAAATAATGACATTTTTAAATCAATTTATCAGTGGATCACAAAATACACAACTCCTGCCTTTAAATGAACCAGAGACACTTTGTAAAATGTGACTCAAGGAAAAGCAGAATTAAGTACTTTAAAATGAGCTCAGATATCAGAAGTCCTGTGAGTTAATCTGGCTGTTACAGAAAAACAGAGCATATAAAAAAAAACCTCTCTGCACAAACTCTGAAAGCTTCTTAGAGCTTGTCTGCATGATTGGTTTGCTTGGATTTGGGAAGATATTGTTTCAGAAAATCCAGTTTTCTCTCATTTCAGTGTAACAATTAACACAAATCTGTACAGAAAGTATTGGAGTGTCATATCTGCCCCTGGGAATTCCGCTCCTCACCTCCAGAGGTCCCTCTCCCCTCAGCTCTGAGAGGCCCTTCACTCCTCTACTGTTTCAGCTCATAAGTAGGATTTGTAAGCAGAGTTTTGTGTGTTTGTCACTCAAGTCTGAGTCTGCAGGTTGTCTCTGTTCTCTCGGTAACTGACTCTCTGCTCTGTTTAATGATTATCATGTTTTTGTTTGATTGTGTGTTTCTTCTCAATTTGAAAAGTATCAATTTTGACCCAATTTTGGGATTGACAAATAATAATGTCATGTACTTGGATCCCACTGATTCTGAGTGTGTGGAATTACACAGAGAAAAAGTAGATATTTTACTGTGAAATGCTAATAACTTAATAAAATTCAGACACTTGAATAAAGTACTTCAGTAAGTGTCCTTTATGGAACTTATGCTCATTTTGCATTCACTGAAACAAAGACTTGAGCTCACACAATCCAAAGAACTGCAAAGACTTCATAAATGATTAACTTACCAGTATCATCTTTTTTCATTCCAAATGTTCCTCCAGTGTAGAGAACATACACTTTTCTTTCTACTGCCATGGTGCAAAACTGGGAAAAGAGCTCTACAATTCATTTAATACAACAGTGATATGAAAGTTACAGTAAAAATGTGATTTGAAAAATGGTAGCATTGTGAATAAGAGCAGGATTAAGACCCAACAGTATTTCAGTGTTTCAGTTTCATTCTTTTTCTATTGAAAGTGAAAGTAAGGACCTTTTTCAGGTAGCTTTCTTTCTTTTATCACGTCTTTCTGTTTACATTTTACAAGGAAATTTCATTTTTAAAGGTCTATTTTCTATTTTCTTGCTTAAAAAATTAATGAAAGCATACATGGATTAAATGGGCATAAACTTACAGAACTGCACAGTACAGAAATATGAAATATGCAGAAGAAAAAATAAGCATTAATACCTTGTACCTGTGTCCTTGGTCCCACGTAGAATTAGGCTGTGTTGAAGGACTGTATGAGGACTTTAAATAGCAGCCTGCAGCTCCACCTATTTAAACAGAAGGTGATCAACAAACTGTACACAAGGAGGCGTCAGCAACCTCATCATAATGCTGACTATTGACGGGTGGAGGAGGACAGCAATGTGACAATAGACTCTCTGGGAGTTAAAGGGGAATTCCACAAATTTTAAAAAATTCTACATAATTCAATCGTTGAAATACAAACAAAGTCATTCAAAAGAGAGAAACTTACAGGCTCAGATGTCTTTACAGTGGTGCTGATAGGAACCAGGGGTCGCCATGTCTGCAACACAAATATAGACATTTTATTTACTATCCAAAACCACCAGTGAACCTACACGAGTCTTCTGAGTTTTATACTGAATGTTCATGATGGTAAAATAGTGGAGAACCTGGAAAGATAAGTTTTCTTTGGGGACCTTTTTGCCTCTTAACGCCTTGCATGTATCCCTCCACTATTAATGGATTTCCTGGCCAAAATCTTCTGAAAACTATCATAAAACAATGTTTCACACATTAGGAAGCATATTCATAATAATGTCCTGTAATAACGTTCTGTAAAAAACAGATTTCTTTAGAACGACAGTGACGGCAGTGGATCTAATGGATCAGTGCCAGAGGCAAGATGTCTGTTCATTACATGCTAGTCCTAATACGGGGGTAGCGACAGGGTCTATCTGACTAGATGCTGAGTCAAACTCATCATCTAGTCAGGCTAACACAAGGGGTCGTGGAGCTGGGTAACAGGGTTTGATCCACAGCCTTCAAAGAAAAAAATGAGGGAAAATACCTGCAAAACAGTGATCAGTGTCACTTCAATGGCAGTTTGGTCCGCTTGATAAGCACGAATCACTTTAGAAGTTTCCCCCCAAAAAATCAAGGGGTATGTGAAAATACAAGATCAGATGCTTAAAGCCATGTTCACCAGAATAACAGAGCAAATTACAAACAAACAAACAAACAAACAAACAAGAACAGGATTTTTCTGTTCACTAAAGTCTAAAAGCAGTGCTGGAAGATGCAGAGCACCAGGAACAGTCACATCTAGACTCATAATCATGTGGCTCCCAAGCTTATGAAAACACATCAAAAGGTTCCCTGGTTCTTGGGAACCAGCATCGGCCGCATGTTTGTAGAAAAATGTACTAACATTCAGCGTGGACTGTTGGAATTAAAGCTTGAAAGCAATAGAACCATGTTTAATCAATACAACATGAGAGGGAGTGTGTTATCACAAATAACATCACGGCTGTGATTTGGTCGTAGATCATCACAGCCGTGATGTTATTCGTGATTCATGACTCTTTTTTTTTTAAATATATGGAGAAAACTGGAGTTTGCCTGTTCTCCCCGTGTCTGCGTGGGTTTCCTCCGGGTACTCCGGTTTCCTCCCACAGTCCAAAAACATGCAGTCAGGCTGATTGGACATGCTAAATTGCCCCTAGGTGTGAGTGAGTGTGAATGTGTATGTCTGTCTGTCTGCCCTGCGATGGACTGGCGACCTGTCCAGGGTGTATCCTGCCTTCCGCCCAATGACAGCTGGGATAGGCTCCAGCACCCCACTGCGACCCAGAAGGATAAGCGGTTTAGATGATGGATGGATGGATGGAGAAGACTGGAGCTGTTTGACAGAGAAGTGTTCTATCATTTCATTTATTTCCATATTCTAAAGATCTACCATTCTGTTTTGTAATGTTTTACTGATGAAATTAATTTCTCTCATTGCCTGTAAAAATAGTTTCAGTTCAACCTAAAAAAATGAATGTGCTAACAAACAGTTTAACTGTTACAGTTTTTTTCAGTTGCTTGAACACGTTTCAGTGTTGTTCTCTTGCTTTAGCTCCCAGCTATAAGGATGCTACTCAAATTAGCATCCTAAAAAAAGCCTATGAGGCTGTTTTGTCCACATTACTTAAAATGTCAGTTAAGAAAACATACTAGAAGGCAAATATATGCTAAAAAGCCACAGATTACCAAGGGGATAAAGAGCACATGTAAAAAGAAAAATGCTTATATAGGAGATTTCTAAACAAAGATCAAAAGAAGCAGAATGCAAATATATGAAAATAAATGACTAAGTATTATAAGATCTTGCAAATATCTGGAGCAGTATAGGAGTAACACTCAAGAAACACGAGGAGTGCTTAATAGCATAATTACAAATAATACTGGAGGAGCAGACAATCCAAATTGTTTTATTTAAGATAACAATACAAATATAAATGAAACAAAACATTAACACTGAATTTAGTTATTATTTTGAAAATGTTGGATACAATTTAGCGAAAGAGATTGTGGATCCGAGAAATAAGAAGGTTGTAGATGAAGATATTGTTCATAAAAACCCAGCTTCTCTGCTTGATGATTTCAAAGACAACCACAATTTACTGAATGTCCATCAGTATGATTTAGAGTAAATAGGTCCACCTCAGTGACAGCAATGAAACTGGTAGAAGAGATATCTACAGCAATAGACAACAAGGAATATACAATGGGGATGTTTATAGATGTAAAAAGCATTCAATGCTATTGATCATGGCTTATTAATGATGAAATTGGAGAGTTAGTATGGTACTAGAGGGACAGCATACGCATGGCTAAAAAGCTTCTTTGATGATAGATAAATATGTACAAATAAATAATGTCAAATCTGATTTGTTAAAGGTTACTTGTGGCGTTCCACAAGATTCAGTGCGAGGATCTAAATTTATCATACTGTGTATAAAGGATATTTGTAAATTGTTCAAATATATTAATTTTCAAAGGATGGCATGGTGGCGCAGTGGGTAGTGCTGTCGCCTCACAGCATAGAGGGCCTGGGTTCGATTCGCTGCATGCAAGAACAGTGTATAAGCAATTGAGAAGAACTGTAACAGAACAAGAATCTGTGTTTTATGCCCTGTCAACTTATTATTTAAAGTTCGAATAACTCAAAAGTTTGTCTGTTAAAATCCCTAGTGTTTCTTAGTTTATTGATTTACATAAAATAGTAGACCTACCTTAATGCCAACAGTTGTTAGTGTTTCTGGGATAACTGTGCTTTGACTGGTAAAGTATTTCTGTTGTAAGAATGCCAGCATTGGTGTTTTGATGGAATGAGTTTATTTATATGAACTGTGGTGCAAAGCTGTGTGTTTCTGCAGAGATGGCTGTGAGGAGCTTTGGAAAAGTAAACTTGGTGCTGAAAAATGAGTGTGCTTATCTGTTAACTGATGTCTTCATGGACATCTTCAACATCTCCCTGGAGAGAGCTGCTGTTCCAACGCGCTTCAAATCAGCTACCATCACCCCGGTGCCAAAGAAGTCCTCTCCCACCAGCCTTAATGACTACCGCTTAGTTGCACTAATCCCAATTGTCATGAAGTGCGTCCAGCGACTGGACATGGCACACATTAAATTATCCATTCCAGGTGTTATGACCCAGTCTAGGGTCAGACAGCAACAGAGAATGAGAGTGGTCTCTCTCCCCAGACCTGCTGCCTCACCAAACACCAGACAAGGTTACGCAAGCAGCTATACAGGAGGGCGCCCCTGTGTGACCAATCACAAACCTGCCACAAACAAGATGCCAGCACAAGGCACACAGAAGAAATATTACGACCGGGGTTGTAACACAGACAGAACTGCAGTTTATTGACTTGACAGCTCAGCATCATCGGAAGAATATCCTAAAGCAGTGCTTCTCAAGCCTGGTCCTGGAGGACCAGTGTCCTGCATATTTTAGTGCTTTTCCTGCTGTAGCACACCCACTAAACCTGCCAATTAGCAGATAAATGCAATCAGGTGTGTCTTGGTAAGTAAATCACCAAATTGTGCTGGACACCGGCCCTCTAGGACCGGAGTTGTGCACCCCTGTTATAGGAGTATAAACATAAATCTTACTACAAATAAACATTAATTTGATGGTGTATTAACAATTCATTCAGTGTATTACTTTATTTCACTCACACAACCACCCAGAACTTTCACTGTTCTGTTGCAGGAAATGGACACAGGTACTCGATCAGGGTAAAGGTAGGTCTGGATTTGGATCAGTAACCTTACTGCACTGCCTGGTGGAAAACACCTATTGGTCTAGGGAAGTGGTTTTCAACTCTGGTCCAAGAATGCCCTAGGGCAGGGGTGCACGACTCCGGTCCTAGAGGGCCGGTGTCCAGCACAGTTTGATTTACCTACTAAGACACGCCTGATTGCATTTATCTGTTAATCGGCAGGTTTAGTGGGTTTAAGTAGGGAAGCCTCCAAACTGAGTTGTGCACCTGTCCTATAAGTCTGAACTTTAGGACAGTGTTTCTCAAGCCTGGTCCTGGAGGCCCACTGCCCCGCATTTTTCGTGTTTCCCTGCTCCCAACACACCTGATCCAACTCAATCAAACTGTGCTGGACAGTGGCCCTCCAGGACTGGAGTTGTGCTCCCCTGCCCTAGGGTGTTCCTGCTCCAACGCTTCAACTTTAATTCAAGAAGGGCTTATTAATGAACTGGATCAGGTGGATTACAGCCGGAAAACAGTGCTGGGTGACGGTACTCCAGGATCAGGGTTTGGCGTCACTGCTCTAGGGATATGATTCAACAGGTCCTAGGTTCAAATCCTAGATATAACAAATCATTTCACTTCCAGAGGCAGCTAACCAGCTGAGAAAATTGTACACAAAGTCCATTGTGAGTGTCCTGTCTGGTGGTTTCAGAGCGTGGCACCCACTTCAGTGCTGGAAGGGCATAGAGCAGGGCTATTCAAGTCGATTAGGACTTTGAATCCAATTTCCATCCCTGGCCTTCGTAATCACTGTTAGCTAAGTCAAAGTTTATTTATACTGTGCTTTTTATGACAGGTGTTCACAGAAGATTTGGATACAAGCTCCCATGAGTGTTGCCAATGGCGATGTTGGCAAGAAAAACCAAAAGTAAAAGCAAGAGGAAGAAACCTTGAGAGGAACCAGTACTCTGGTCGACACCAGATAGCAAGACAAAAACAAAAGGGCAAAATGAACAGAGGATAAGATTTTACAGTTAATATAGAACATAGAGGAAAGGAAATGGGA